AAAAAAAAATTGCGTCGAAATTTTAACGGTACCCTCAAACAAATAGGAAATAATAAAATAGAAGAGCCATTACAACCATTTTCTTTATGCTAAATCAATTTTGTAACTCCATTAATTGATTTATGCTCATAATTTATGGCATTCAAGCAAGTTAATTTGTAACTTAAAAATGAAATTGAATGCTAAAAAAATTGGAGGGAGAATAAAATTTAATGCATCACAATAAAATTAAATGCTTGTCTTGCCAAATTATATATTTATAGATTATCATCATAATTAATTACTACAGTGAAATGTAACTCAAACAATATCAATCAATAAATGAATAAGAGGAAGAAGATGACCCTTTATTTTATTCTTTTTATTTTATTATATTTTATTTTATTTTATTGCTGTTTTTGGTTAGGCCAATGAAAGTGAAACTCACCCACAATGAGGCTCTAAAAGGTCATCAGGTAATGGAATCTAATACAAAATTGGTTGAATGTGGTGTTGGATTTCCACTTATCAAGATTTTGCAAAGTATATATTATTGTTGGAAGATGCTATGGTTCCATTACGGAACTATTCCGTCGGAGTTTGTGACCGTTAGACCAACTATATCTAACGGTTACATGATGATTTAACGGTTACAAATCTCGACGAAATGGTTCCATAACGGGACCGTAGCATTTCCCATTATTGTTTGATGTGAGGGGAAAAAAAAAAAAGAACACATGGATATTTGGAAAGGGACAATAACATGCTTCCAAATTATTTGACATTCCTTATAGAGACCCATCTGGATATTATGTAGAAAAAAAATGAAGTCCACTTGGGGAGTGAAATCTGATTTTAAAAATAATAAATAAACTAAGGCCATCTCCAAGGTTCAATTATTGGTAAGCAAAATGAGAGCAAGGCCATCTCCAAGACTCACTAGTCTGTCTTGTCTGGCCAGCCCCCGCCGGGGACGAGCATCTGGTTACAACATGATCTGGCTGGTGTGTCTTATCCCAGGAAAATTGTTCTCTAGATTCTAGTAGGCTTTTGCCTCCCTTCATTGTACCAAAA